AGCTATAATACTCAGTTTTGAAAATAAACATACAGCTATTGCTGTTTTTCTTCCATCTCCTTTTTGTATTCAATGGTTCCTTTAGGGCATTTAGCAAAGCGTGGTGGGGTTGTCCAAAATTAAACGAGGAGGCTGAGATCCTGATGTCCCTGACCGAAGTCAAACCTGTTTCTCAATTCTGGGGCAGAGTCTTCTCTCTTTGTCCTGCTAGCCCTGGAGCACGATGAACTAGAAACGGCCACACGGCAGTGTATCACCCAACACGTTGCGCTGGTTTCGTCCCTATCTTGGCGCTAAAGAACATGATCCAGAAAAAAAATAATCATACATATTATCAGTAATAATTTCCTTTAGTTGCTGCAGCTGTGAAATTTGGACATTTTGGTCCCAAAGAATAATAGCAACAATCATCTCTATTGAAAAAAAGATCTCTTTGGGTCAAACCACTTATATTATCATGCTAAAAATTCTGGGGGAAATGTCTCGTTTTTGTGATAATTCAGTGGAAAATCCCGCCTCCGCCACTCCTAGATATTGCCATCAGTGAGGAACCAGGTTACTCACTTTGATTGTGAGGTCACCTTTCAGATTCCCAATTCCCCAGAAAACAATTCTCTCTGGAAATAGTACTTCCTTTGCCAACCTCTGGCTGAAGATCTGGGTGACGAGGATTTGAGACTACTATGGGCACGTACTTGGGATGTAACTGAACAAGACACAGCAGATTGCTTTCTACTCCCTGTTGTTGAAGTATGAATACACTCCTGTAGTCTAATATTAAGAAGTGATTATATCTGGTTCAATCGTGTGAGCCAGTGTTGACATCAAATTTGGTTGACCAGCCAAACAAATTTTTGGAACCTTGCTGCTGCTCAGGATTGCTCTGAATATAAAATTTCTGGGAAAATGATCAAATTTTAAAAGTCACATGTATAGCTATGTTTTTCCCTACTGGTAAAGTACAAAATCATCCCCAGTCCCCCACCAACATTGCTCTTTTCTAAAAACTCAGTGAAGTCTGGTCATTCTTAAAATTGGACACTGTCTCAACTAATCTGTGACCTCATGCTATATCCCCAGGGCGGTTTAGGATTGAGCTCTAGTTATTCCCTAAGCAAAAGAAGTATTAGTCAAGTAGAAAACAAATTTCTTCCTTCAAAATGACTTCAGGTGAGATATCAAGAGTCTTCAAGAAAGAAAAGAACTGTCTAGTCAGGTTGGCGAGAGGAAAACTGTCGCCTCTGGGAAGGAAGACTTCACATGGGCTTTGAGAGTTGTTCAGATACCTGAGTCTTCCCAAAGCTCTGTCCTACAACCCTGAATGAATCTCTTCTGATCAATGCCTGCATTTCCATGGTGGCGACATAGGTCGTGACGGAGTTATTCAGTTGTACTATGGTACAAACTCAATTTGAGTTTTGGCTATTGAAGTCTTAGACTGGGAGAAAATGAATTCTTTCCTCAGGGTTACAGGACATCCCTTAATTTCAGTCCATGGCTTAACATGAGAAGTTATAGATGTCAGACTTATGATTCCCTGTTTAAGCCATTCAGGGTTATCAGATGTGTGCATCTATTGATTTTTATTATTTTTTCATACTGTTTATATGGTAGTCAACACAGTCAGCCAAAGCCTTCTTCTTCTCAATAGACCCGTGATTACAGATGTCCTTAGGTATTTAACTTGATATCTTATCACTGAAATCTCTATCCAGCTTCCTTTCTACCCAAGAAAAATAACAAGACACTCATGTCTATTTTGAAAACCAGTGTCAATTCCTCATATTTCCTTGAAATATTACCAAAAGACTGACTTCCTTGTTCAAATCTACAAATAATATAGCTAAGAGACAGGGCAGCTGCAAACACTAGCTCTGTTACTCACCAGCCATACGGCTAGGGTGGTCCATCTCCTTGGGGTTTTTATGGGAAGTCACTTTAAAAGAAAAAGGCTAGATGGGGCAAACAAAACTAAGGATTTTTTATTACAGCATCTAAGAGCTGTAATAGAATCTGTTAGGTTGGATTTGGTAATGAGCTACATTAAAATATCTGGGCAAAGTTAATTCAGATAATAGCATCAATGGAGAGATCTGCACACAGAGATCAGCTTGTTAAAAAACAACCTTCTGAGCTGAGCAGTGGTGATGAACACCTTCAATCCCAGCAGAGGCAGAGGCTTTAATTCTTGAGAGGAAGAGGCAGGCGGATCTCTGTAGTTCGAGGCTAGACTGGTCTACAGTGAGAGTTCCAGGACAGGTTGTTAACTGATAGAGGAGGACCCAGTCCACTGTTAGCAATACCACTACTAGGCAGGTGGTCCTGAGCTCAACAGGAAAGCTGGACAACCGTGCGTGAGTGAGTGAATGAACCAGGGAGCAAGTCCCAATGTCCTCCATATTTCTGCTTCAGGTTCTTGCCCTGAATTCCTACCTTGATATCCCTGGGTGAAGGACCATGACATGGAAGCCGAATAAATGCCTTCTTCCTCAAGTTGTCTTTGGTCAGAGGCTTTCATCAGAGCAACAGAAAGGGAAAAGGTTTTCCCTTTAAACTGATACACTTCCTCCTAAAAGGGGCAAAGAAGCTCCTAAGACTCAGGAAGCTGCTGAAATTTATAAGACTCCAGAAGTTAATGAAACTTACAAAGCTCAGGAAGTACTAAATTTCATGTCATCTAGAAAAGCAGCATCTTAGTTACAGTTTCTATTGCTGTGAAGACACCATGACCTCAGCAACTCTTATAAAGGAAAACATTTAATTGAGGTGATGGTTTACACATCAGAGGTTCCATCCATTACCATTGTGACGGAACATGGTGGCACGCAGTCAGACATGGGACTAGAAAATGAGCTGAGAGTTTTACATCTTCATGTGCAGGCAACAGGAAGTGGTCTGAGACAGTGGGTGTGGCTTCAGCCCACCTTCACAGTGAAACACTTCCTCCAATAAGGCTATACCTACTCCAATAAAGCCATACCTCCTAACAGTGCCACTCCCTCTGAGTTTATGGGGGCGGCAATTCCATTTAAACTACCATAGGCAACTAGTGATCTTAACCACTGAACAATCTCTGCAGCCTCTCCTCTGCTTTTTAAAAATTATGTTTTGAAATTATGTATCTTGATAATATAAAACCATACCACTCTTCCTTACAACACCTCCCAAGGCCTCCGCAACATATCTCTCTCTCAGCTTCATGTCCTCTCCTCTCTTTCTTCTTTTATTGAAGATAGATCTTTCCCCATACATTCTGATTACAATTTTCCCCTCCGCCAACTCCTCCCAATTCTTCTCCATCTCCCTTTCCATCCAGATCCACACTCCTTCTGTGTCTTCTTAGAAAGCAAATAGGCATCTAAGGAATAATAATAAAATGATATAGATAAGTCAAAAGCAAACAAAGAAAAGAAAAAGAACCAAAGAAAAACCATGGGAAACATATAGAGACCTAGAGAAAGGCACACTTGCATACACAGGAATCCCACAAAATGCAAAACCAAAAGTCAAAATACATAAGCAAAACACCTGTAAAAAAAAATCCTCTCCAAAGCATTATGACACAAAGAACATTGTTGAGTTCACTTTCTGTTGCCCATCTACTGCTGGGCATGGGGTCTACTCTTAAGAATGGTTTGTTTCCCCAGTAAGACTCCCTTGGAGAAAGCTAATTTTTTATTTGGGGCTTTGAATTTTGTGCCACAGTGGACTGTGCCCTGGAACTGTGCATTTAAATAAACCCTTTCTCCCCTAAGTTGTTTTTGTTAGGGTATTTTATCATAGGTATGGAGAAAAAGACTAAGACACACAGTGTAAATTTTTAAGTTACTAGAGTAGTTTGGTATAGGAGGTCCTTCTGTTTATGTGTTGCTTTCATTGGTTAATCAATAAAGAAACTGCTTGGTCTAATAGGGAAGAATTTAGGTAGGAGGGGAAAACAGAACTGAATGCTGAGAGAAGAAAGGAGGAGGAAAGCCGCCATGGAGACGCCAGGTCAGACATGCTAAATCTTTCCCAGTAAGCCACGACCTCGTGGTTATATACAGATTAATAGAAATGGGTTAAATCAAGATGTGAGAGTTAGCCAATAAGAAGTTGGAGCTAATGGGCCAAGAAGTAATTTAATTATTACAGTTTCTGTGTGATTATTTCGGGTGTAAGCTAGCTGGGTGCCAGGACAAAATAAAGGGACCCCGCTCTCCCTGTAACAGTAGTCTTACATTCTTATATGTATAGAAGGTGCGTTTTGTTGTTGTTGTTTGTTTGTTTGTTTTAATATTTCTCTTTTGTCTTTGGGGCTAAATTTTGGAACCCCAGAGTATGGTTTATAAACCTTGATTTAACCTAGACACATGGTAAAAGTTCAATAGCCCCAGGTCATATTGGCTTCCCTTTCAGGGAATACAAGTCCTGTGGCTCTCACTGTCCACTCCTCCCTCATCTCTCTTTATCTTTCACAGACACCATCCTCCAGCATCCTTACACACGTCTGATCCTGTCCTACCCTCTGCTTTTCAGAGAATGAGAACTACCACAATTGGCGCCATTATCTCTCTTCCAGGTACAGGTACACATTTTTTTTTTTTTTGAGACAGGGTTTCTCTGTATCTTTGGGGCCTGTCCTAGAACTAGCTCTTGTAGACCAGGCTGTTCTCAAACTCACAGAGACCCGTCTGCCTCTGCCTCCCGAGTCCTGGAATTAAAGGTATGTGCTACCATCACCCAACTGCAGATTGTTTAAAAACGGTTGCAATCATGTCCCTCTCCTGTTCAAAGTTCTCCAGTGATCACTCTGCCTGGAGGTAAAAATCTCTCTCTTACATTTCCAATAGTCACCATGTCACCACTAGCCCTCATGTAGCAGGCTTTAAGTAGAGGATCCTGTACCCATTACTTTTCTGTTACTGGGGGAAAATAACATGACCAAGGAAACTTACATAAGAAAAGGTTTATTCTGATGTTTTGTTTCTGGGGTATAAGAATCCATCATGGCAAGAAGCATGGCAGCAAGCAACAGGCATGGCAGCAAGCAAAAATTTAAGAGTTCACTTTGGGGGGTGAGGGGTTCATCCTGTGCAGCCCTGGCTTTCCGAGAAATCACTCTGTAGACCAAGCTGGCCTCGAACTCAACAGATTCACCTGCCTCTGCCTCCTGAGCACTGGGATTAAAGGTGTGCACCACCACTTCCTGCCAAGGAGGTGTTCACATCTTGAATCACAAGCATGAAGCAGACAGAGTGAACTGGAAGTAGGGTAAGACCTTAAACTCTCAAATTCAAATCCACAACTTTCTTACAGCAAGGCCACACCTCTTAAACTTTCACATACAGCACCCCCAACTGGAGACCAAGTGTTCAGATGTCTGGAACTGTGGGGTACCTTCCTCATTCAAATGTCAGAGCTCATGGCAGCAAGGCTGCTCTCTCTCTGTCCTGAAAATAAACCAAGTCCACCATGCATCACTCCCCACCACTCATGCTATTTCCATCTTCTTATATGATAATTCTTTTCATTCTTATGTATGGTTAACTTTTGCATTATCACTACTAATATTGTTGATCTGTACATTGAATATTTTAAAATTAAATCTGGGGAGAAGTAAGTGGCTTAGTCGGAAAGGACACCTCCCTCCAAGCATTATGACCTGAGTTCAATTCCTGGGACCCATAAAGTGAAGAAAAAAACCAACCCTCTCAATTTATTTTCTGAAATCTACTCATATACCATGGTTTACATCACATACATATACAGAGTCACATAAATAAATAGATAAATAAACAAATAAACTAATTAATTTAGAAGATGAAATATAAATACCACTATCATATTCATGCATGAAGTTTTATAAATAGACAAGTGAAAGACAGAGAGAGACAGACAGATGATACATGAAATTTTACAACATAGAGAACATCATTTACCTTCAGTATTTATTCATCCAAGAACAGGTATGTATTTACTCAATTGATAATAAACACTATCAAGACCACAATAGATTTGACTATTTCAGCTTTCAAATTCCAGTGGTTAATTTTACATGTTGGTGTGGCTCGTTGCTATCCCATTTTTGTTCAGACACTAGATGTTATGGAAGGCATATTATTCCAAGTTGTTAGCATAATCATCTGACTTTAGGTAAAGCAGATGACTTTAATGTGGGCGATCCTCATGCAGTTGACTGAAGGGGATAAGCCAAAAGACAAATCTGAATAGGAAGAAATTCTGCCTCCAGACTGTAACACAGGGATCCTGCTTGCATCTCCATTCCCCTGGCTTTCCCTGTAGATCTCAACTCAAGCCAGCTACATCAAGTGAATTGCCAGCCACACAGATTTAGGGCTTGCCAGTTCCAGAAGCCTATGAGCCAATCCCTCAAAACAAATCACCATCTATATATTACGTTCTGTTGGTTCTTTATCTCTGCAGAGCCAGATACACGCATTTCCCAGCTGTGGAGATGAAAGAGGAAAGAAGAAAGTTAAATAACAGCATAAGGCACTGGAATTCTTCCAAAATAAATCATCAAATGGTGATTGTCAGATTGTACTATAGGCCCATACACTCAGAGAAAGAGGGGTCACCATGGGCTAACCATCAGAGTGACAACTCAATGGGAGACTTTTACCATTTCATTTTGAGACTTTTAAGAATTGTACAATTAGGGGCTGAAGGGATGGTGTACGAGGAGGGCCCACTTGTACATCCCAGATGTCTGGCTAGCTTATCCCCAAAATAACCACACAAAGAATTGTATTAATTAAAACACTGCTTGGCCCATTAACTCTAACTTCTTATTGACTAACTCTTACATAACTCTTACTTTAACCCACTTCTATTAATCTGTATATCACCATAATGTCGTGGCGTACCAGCAAAGTTCCAGCATGTCTGACTCTGGCAGCGGCTCCATAGCGTCTCCAGATTCCACCCTTCTTTCTCCCAGCATTCAGTTCCATCTTCTCCGCCCACCTAAATTCTGCCCTATCAACAGGCCAAGGCAGTTCCTTTTAATAACCAATTAAAGCAACACATAGACAGAAGGACCTCCTACACCAGGATAGCTCAGTGGCTAAGAGCATTAGTTGTTCTTCCAGAGGTCCTGAGCAATTCCCAACACCTATATGTTGGCTAACAGCCATCTAAAATGGGATCTGATGCCCTCTTCTGTCATACAGGCATATATGAAAATAGAGAACTCATGTACATAAAATATACAAATAAATAAACCTAAAAAAAAAAAGAATTTTACAACTAACTTGATAACATCCCAGACTCACCTTTTTCAAGTCACATCCTTCATTTGGTTTGTTCCAGCTTTTAATAAAGCCTGTTTCTGTGGAGATGGGAAAGAAAGGATGGCCTACTTAAACTTGGCCAAATTACTTTGCAAGTTGATCAAAAATCTATTTGGTTAAAAAAAATCTCCTTGTTAAAGTGTCTTAAGACTACATTTGTTAGAACCGAAGCAGCCCCAATCTAAATCAGGACAAAAGGCTGGATTTCCAAGTTGCAGAAAAAGGCCATGTGATTTGCTTCATTAGAGAAACAATTTTAACATGGTTTTAAAATGACATTTTTAAAAGGCTAACTTGTCTCATTTTCCATTTTCTACACCCACACTCCCCTCTACAAAAATGTTCAAATTTAGTTAGCTTGCCTTTACCCCCTTTATATCACAGCAGACAAAATGAAGTTTGTAATTACTCAGCCATCATCATAATCAGTTGTAGTAAGATGGAACCCAGAACACAAGATTAATAACACAGTAGTAATGCTATAAAAGGGATTGGCACTGAGAATCACAGAAAGAACATCTAAAACTCGTGTGTGTGTGTGTGTGTGTGTGTGTGTGAGAGAGAGAGAAAGAGAGAGAGAGAGAGAGAGAGAGAGAGAGAGACCTTAACTCTTGCTGTACACTGTAAAGGTTTGTTACTCAGATTGGTTTAATAAAAAGCTGATTGATTGGTAGCCAGGCAGGAAGTATAGGCAGGACAGCCAAACTAGAATGCTGAAATGAAAAAGGGAAGAGTCAGAGAAGTTGCCAGCCAGATATAGAAGAAGCAAGACATGCCTGGAAAGGTAAATGCCACAAGCCTCAGGGCAGTATATCAATTAATAGAAATGGGTTAATTGAAGTAGTAAGAGCTAGTTAGTAACAAGCCTGAGCTATGGGTCAAGCATTTGTAATTAATATAAACCTCGGTGTGATTGTTTGGGAACTGGCAGGCAGGAAAGAAACATCTGCCAACACTTAACAGACACCTCACCTGAAAGGGGCAAAAGTCAAGTAAACATGTACTATGTTCTCGTGAGGCTGCAAATTGAAGTACCAATGAGCTATTACCACACACCCACCTCCCAGAAAGGCCAAAACCCGGACCATCCAAAATACCAAATCATGATAGGAACGTGAAACACAAAGGTGTCTCGTTCTTTACTGGCAGAAATACAAATGGTATAGCCACTTTGGAAGACTATTCCCAGTTACCTCCAAAATGAAGCATTCTTGCCATCTAACTCATCAATTCCACTTCTTGGTAGTTCCCCTAAATAAACTGAAAATTTGTCTGCACAAGAGCGTATGTGTGAATGTTTGTAGCAGCTTTACTTGTAATTACCAAAACTTGGAAGTCATCAAGTGTTCATTCAGTTAATGAATGAATAAATAAACACCCAGACAAAGGAACACTATCCCACACTAAAGAGACGGAGCTAGCAAGTGTGAAGCAGAGTCTGTATGTCATACCATGTAAATACGGCTATTTGTATAAGCTAATTCATGATCATCTGGTTCTATCTCTGCCCAGGGAAACTAAGAACATCTCAAAACCAAAGTCAGACCCTAAGCAGAGTCATAGCCACTGAAGAATAAAGTTGACTTGAACAGATGGTTTCAGGCCATGGAGAGTCTGACTTGGAAGAGAAGGTGAAATAATCAGTATCACAGGCAAACATGAGGATGAGTGTGTCCTGCCGTGTATGAGTACAGCCACCAGTCTGCAGAAGCAGATAGGACATGACTTCCTGAGAGATGATCAGAAGAAGAGAGGAATGGGGCTGAGATGGTAGACAGGTGGAATCTAATGTAGAAAGCTAATAAAGCAGATTGAGACAGAGACTATATTTGGTGACATAGAGAGTCACCAAGAAGGGGGAGGGAGCCAGCCTTTGATAAGCATTTTAGGGTCAGAAAGTAGATTATGTGGCACTAAGATTGGAAGCCCTTCCTTTTGGAAGAGATGCAGAAAGAGGCAGAAGAGGCCCGGGTAGAAGCAAAGCTGGCTCTAATGGGGCTCGGAGAGGGTTTGTGTTGGAAGAATGGGAGTTTTGACTCTGTGCAGAGTCTAACAATGCTGACAATAGCTAGGCCAGTGGCAGCAGCGATACATGGGACCCAGAGGAGAGTGGTATGCTCCGCAGCTTTACGGCAACTTGACACAACCTAAAGTCATCTAAGAGGAGGGAACCTCAATAAAGACAATGTCTACACCAGGCAAGCCTGTAGGGCATTTTCTTAATTAGTGACTGATGATAGAGGGCCCTGTCCATTGCAGGTTGTGTCATCCCTGGGCTGGTGGTCCTGGGTTCTATAGGAAATAGGACTGAGCAAGCCATGGGAGCAAGCCATGGGAGCAAGCCTAGAAGCATGGCCTCTCTGTGGCCTCTGCATCAGCTCCTGCCTCCAGTTTCCTGCCCCATGCGAGTCCCTGCCCTCACTGCTTTTGATGATGAACTGTTGTATGGAACTTTGAGTGAAATCAATCCTTTCCTCCCCAGGTTGCTTTTTGGTCATGGCGTTTTTTTCACAGCCATAGTAACCCTAACTAAGAGTAGTGGGGAGCTGAAGAGAGGAATGCAGATCTTCTTGAGACCAAAATCTTCACTGTCCCTGAAGTGTGTTCAGTGTCTCTGACTGCAAGTTCATGGCAGTTAGTCATGGTCAGAGAGTTGACCTTGCTGTTCTGTCAGGAAGACACTGTCTTCTGCAGGAGCCATTGATCTCATCTGGATCTGTGCTTCCTCTGACATATCTCTGGTGTGTGACTCCCAAAAGAGGGCCATGTAACCACCTACTTTCAAGACCACACTTTCTCATAACTCGATGAGCACATTAGGGAAAGATCTGGCGACATCAGTGAAACTAATAATCCAGTACCACAGGCTCCCGGACCTTAGAGCAGTTCGAGCCTGTCTCGGTCGACAGATGAGTTTTCTCGATCTGGAAGCAGCTCCTCCTGAGATTTGGGTTGGACCACTCTCTGTTGCCAGGGATGCTGGGTTGGACCACACACTGACGTAGGTGCAGTCAGTGATCTCACAGTTCACACCTGGCCCTTGCACAGTACCAGGTAGAACCCCTTAAGAGCCGCCACCTGCAGCGGAACCTCAGCCTCCTTGTCTCCTTTGTCAAGAAAGCCCACATTGGATCCATTCTTGTCTCCCTGGATGTTAGACAGCCAATTGTCCTTCCATCAGCTTGCTCAGCAGAAAGGGAAAGAGCAGTGGAAAGGGTTTCTGGCTGCCCAGATGCCTGTTCTGCCTGGGAAAATGCCTAACTTAGCGGATATCCAAGGCTCAGTCTGGGTCAGAGCCTGTCTTTTGAGAATAGGAGTTCACACCAAGCATCCCCTCCAGCCACACTACTCCTGGTAATCTGACTGAATCTATGATTTTATCTAACCAGTCAGCAGTCTAATTGGCCCAATTCTATCAACATATAACTCCAAAATAATGATCAGGGCCCTCTCTATGAACAGAGATCCACACAGACTCAACAGTATCCCAACTCCATGTATTAATCACCCCCTAAAGGGCTTGACTCAGGAGAAAAAAAACCCACATCTTCAGTTCTGAGTATACCACCCTGTGACAGAGCACATCTGACAAAGGTGCAGTGAAATGTGACATGCTTTCTACTTTTTTGTCCTTTCTCCTCTCAGTGAATCAGGGTCTACAGCCTCCTTAGAGATAACAAGCAAACAGGACTCATTCTCTATATGGTTTGAGGCCCAGAGAGGAGATCCTAGGTATGACCACCACAAATAAAACAGCATGTTGTCTATAACACAGACCGCCCTCCTGGTATCAACATCTGCATAGACTTTAAAGTAAACATTTCAACATAAGCCGGAAGTACTCTTTCCCCATGCACAGAGCACAGTGCTCCTCCAGGACTTCCTATATCATGTCTGGCACAGTCTCTGCTCCTCCTCCATTGGCCAGAGTTTCCATACTGTGGGCCTCAGTCTTGGCAGAAACCCTCAACTCTGGTCACTATAACTTTAGGAACATCTCCGTTTACACTCCTGGAATCCTGCTATTGTTGCCTGCCTTGTATTGCATGGCTCCAGGGCTGCTATATGCCTACATGCTACAGAAATATAGCATGTGCTCAGACAAGGTGCTTCAGACAAGGTTCCCATTGGATTGGTGGAGTATCTGATTTCCCACCCCTACCATTCCATAGATATGAGATTGGGATTGGGGGGAGACCTGGATAGCAGCCCTTATTCTGGGGACCTCATCAAGTTTGGCTATGCCTTATCTCTAGTCCCAGTCACAGCACTGACCCAACGCCAGCAGGAATAAGTGCAAACTTACCACACCACACAGGCAGAAATTCCTGAATCCAGTCTCCCCCAGTCTGCTTGCACAGCTTTGGGATTGACCTGATTAGGGTGATGGGGAATAAAGAAATGATGGACAAATGTATAGAAGAGCTGGGTTTGGATAGGCCATGAACTCTAATGAGACACACCGCAACAGTCCAGAAACTTAGCATGTTTTTTTTTTTTTTGTACACAGCACCGTCTAGGAGACGGTGGTCAGCTAATCCCAGGAGAGGATGTGTCTATAGGAGACAGGTTGTAGTCATCAGAAAAATTGACACTTTCTATACGCACTGTCAACATCCTTACTTGTTGGGACGAACAGAGATGTGAGCCTGTTTCACCTTGTCTGAAGGTCAGAGAGTTTGAGCTTATTTTTATTCTTTCAAAGTTGTTGGTAACAGGTGTGGCTACAAACAAGATATCCTGAGCTAGGGTGTGGTTACTTGGTGTTTTAGACATTAAGACAGCCCATACAGATGGATCCGTTCCACCCTGATCAAAGGTTAATGATTTCAAGCATATTTCAACTCCTTCTTTTAAAATAGGAGGTTTGACTTAGGGAGTGGCTGCCTACAGGATACTTGATCTAGGATGTGCTCACTGCCCCAAATAACAACTACTTTTCTCAAAAATTAATAGCTTGATGTCTCAAGTATTAAAGTAAGTTAACTGTTCTTGTTGTCCTTTGTGTCTTGTTAAAGCAGTCTTTTGCCCTCTTCCC